ACACACACACACACACACTTTTTATTGCGTATGCATAGGTGTTATCCTTGAAGTCTTATTCTTAACATAACGAAATACCTACATGACTGACGCTTTTACAAAAACTCACTTTGCCTTGGGCAACAGCTGTAGTTGCCATGTCCAGTACAAACTCATCGCCCTGCTCTCCTTTAGCCGCAACAGAAATAGGGTTTGTGCCCAGCACCCTCTGAAATTGTCGAGAACAAAGTAACAGCTGGGGACTAAATATTAGCAGTTCATCATTATGTTGGTGAGACTTTAAAAAGGGGGAATGGTACTTCATATCATTTGTTCGAACCTATTACTTTTCATAACAGGACTTCGAGAAGGTAGTAAAATCTAAACAGTCCCCACCCTTCTGCATACACATACCTACTTTCAAATTTAAACAATTTTCATTGATAAGAATCTAAGACTTTAAATATGTTTATTTTTACTGTTGGTGTTTTTAGTATTTGTTTAATATAGGGTTTGACGGCGCTCACAACTGCAGTTGGTGTTTTTACATCCCTATCGATACATTTTAGATCATTAAGGAGGCAGACTTCGCCCGTGCCTATCAGAACAAACCCCGGCTGGGGATACAACGTCCCAGCAGAACAATACTCAAGACTAGTTCTCCTCTCACTGGAATCAATCTCGGGTCTTCTGCATTCGGCGGCGAAGTATCAAGCCAACACATTACAATTACAGTCGCCGGTATAATTTAAGTTAAATAGTAAGACTGGATAAAATTAAATCGTAAGGCTGTACCTTCAGTAAGGATGGAAAATCGTAGTTTTTCGGTAAATAATAAATTCTAAGTAACGTTGTGTTCATTGCAAACAATTATGCTCTTAAATCCTACCTCAAATTACAAAATTAATCTGAATTTCTTAAAGCCCGAAAGCAAAAATATAAGACCTAGACTGCATGAGGACGACACCAAATAGCTTGAAAACACTTCAAATTGTGTGAATTTAAGGGGTTGGGCCATACTTGAGCTCATCGCTTTTTTCTTAGCGTAATGTCAAGTTCCCAGCTTTATCCCCTGCCACAGTATCCTCTGCGTTTGTTAGAAATCTCCATGAAAGTCTCGGGGAAAAACATTCCTGTTGTCTTAGATATAATGCTCTCATGCACTGTCCTTCAAATACTAGGTAAAAGAATGCCCTGGTCTTACACTGTCCCAGGGTGTCCTGTACTTCAATATATTTCAATAACTCTGTTTGAGGCTGACGCTTCTTTATCTGTCCAGACAATAAACGGTCTCCTATGACATTGCATTATTCCTCATTTTCGAGAAATGACCTTGAGAGGTGCCAGCCCTATGCTTTTAAAATGAACGACATTGTGTTTTGTAAGTAACTAAATTCCAACACCAACAAAAAATAGACAAGATGGGCTCTTATTGGAAAAAAACGAAAAAACAACAACAAAATATACTAGACACCATGAAAGTACAAAAGTCGAAACACATTTTGGCCAACCCTAAAGCTGTCTTATTTGAAAACATATATTAAAAAAGCAATCCCAAATTAGGAATCTATACAAAAAACGTTCAAACTCATTAGTTTTAGAATTGAGGTCTGAAACACCAAAGCTAACCACCGTGCTAGTAATATGTTCTCATAACATATTATGATTAACTCAGAAGTTATGCAAACATTTTAGAATTCAATCCTACCTCCTCCACTCCCTCGCCCCTACAACCTCCAACAAAATAGAACGGGACACAATTTTCTTCTTGGTTATAGTTCCTTTGCTATGACTCTGGCAAACCATCTAATTTCCTCTGCAGCACTAAAGTCGCACCTCCTTTCCTCTTGGGTGGACCATGTTTCGAGAAGAATTGCAAAACGCCATACCCTGGAGAAGACAAATGTAGTGCGATGATAATTCAGACAGTCAGTTTGACTGAAGAAATCAGCACATTAAAAATAGGCACGTCACTGGAGAATAAAAATACATGTATGTCAATGACGTAATATTCAACTTCTTGAGAACTATGACTCGGATGACACAGGTTCCAGTCCTTGAAGAGTTCCGTTTTGAATATGGATTGTTTGTTTAGTTTACATTGCTTTTCTACCGCCTTTGCTTGGTCCTGTTGGCTAAGACTTAACGTACTAAACCCAATAAAATGCTAAATCAATAACAAATCCTAAGAAGCGCAGTTCTTGTCAGGTTACAAATTACTTCGAGCTGAAATAGTGTTATGAAATCACCCTTATTTTAATTACATATTGTATAATTAACTAACATTAGAGAAGTACCGCTCTAATCTAGGTTAACAAAGCAGTGGGGGGAGTAGAAGATACATAAAAACTCATTAAGGTTAATTTCCAAATTCGTAAGTTATGAACTAAAACCAAAGTCGTTCACACTTCAGACCAGTAGAAGTATCCGGGGCAATCATTTCTGCTAAATATAAAACAGTGCTATGGGAACTAGTAATGACACAATATTATAAGCAACGTTTTCACAAGGTATTCGAAAAGACATATTATCATACAGAGATTAGTATAAACTATTTGTTGGAATTGGGCGTGTGTTTAGTGCAAGAAGTCTGTTTTGTATGACTTCGTTTTCAAAAGTTTTCATTATGATGTAAAGAGAAATGGAAACAAGAGTGGACACAAAGGCAGACAAATTGAAAAAAGACAAATTTAATATGAGTTCAAATAGGTATAATTGAAATAGAAAGAAAAAAAGTATAATGATAGATTCACAAGGTAATTTTAGCAGAATTATTTCCTAAAGGATGATCCTTATACAAGTAATATAGTCGTTACAACAGGGTTGCAGTATCAACCATCTGCCAATCATTTACAATAGGTCCTTGCTGCATTGCACGTATGTTGTACCAGCCAGCTATTCCAAAGTGATTGGATCCTGAAAAAGCAAACTATAAACGTTGCTCTCTCTCTCTC